CAGGGCAGACCATTAAAATCCTCGGCGCCCCCTACGATGCCGTCCTCGAATTCGTCCGCTTCCTCAACGCTGGAGAAGCCAGACGGCTGCCGCCTGAGGCAACGGAGGCGATGAACCTGTACGGCGTTCAGCTTCTGGCGCTCGCTCACGCGTATCGTATCTGATGGCTAAAGCGGCTCTGCGAAGCAGCCGTGGGAGGGCGGGTCGGATCAGATGACGTGGTCGAGGTGATGAAACTCGCGCAGCTCTGGGACGCGCCGCAGCTTCGTCGGTGTTGCCTCACTATAGCGGCGAAGGACTTCGCCGCCTTGCAACGGACGGAGGGTTGGCGGTTCGTTCAGAACCATAACCCCCATCTCGAGCTAGAGATTTTACAATTTATGGCGGAAAGGGAGCAGAGGAGGAAGAGGGGGAGGAGAGAAAGGTTGGATCAGGAGGTCTTCTTGCAACTCATCGAGGCTATGGAATGCTATAGATGTACGACACCGTCTTCTCGGGGACGCCAGTGAATCTTGTCCCAGTCTAGTTCCCCGTCCACCAGTACGAAACCGAGCCATTGAAGACGAGCTCGAACTCACCGAATTTTGGCGGGCGAAGCCGGAGAGAGAACTCACCGGGAGACATATCCATGGGGCTTCGCCATGAAGTGATCGCCATGCTGCCCGTCACTGCCATCTCCGACAGCCATGTGTCGGCGGGGAAGTCGAAGCTCTGCCACGCAATGGCTCCTCGGCCGCCGACAGAGAGTAGTACAAGGTTTCCAGCGTCGACTTGCTGAACTGCGGCGGCAGGAGTAGAGTTCTCCGTCTCCCACAGAATGGAGTTGGAGGAGTGGGTGACAGCGAGGCGGCCAACGATGGTCAGAAGAGCCGACGGCGGCGATGCTCGCACGGGGGCCAGGCGATTTTCCACCCATACGTAGGTGCGAATGGGAATGGAGGCGATAAATGTAAGGGCATTCATGTATTTCTCATACCTACGAACAGCGGGAAGCAGCCAAATGCAGGAGGCTTCCTCCGGGCACAGAAAGCAACTGCGGGACGCAGAAATTTTCAGACCGGAGCATGACCGCGTAACTCCAAAGCATCTCTAGGTTACGTTTCGTGCCGCACAGTAGGAAAAAAGCCATCCCAAACGTACCCTTGATCTCCCCTGATTTTTCTAAAGCTATTTGATGCAAATCCGTTTAGTTTATGAATTTACAAATATCTAATAAGTCAATCTTGATCTAGATTTTTGGAAATTAACAACAACGAAGAAAGGGAGATGAAAAGCAAACGAGGGCCTCCATCCAATTAATCTAATATAGCTTAGTTAATATAATTTAAAGTATTAGTAATTAATTAAATAATTAGTTGTATAATTAATAGTGCACTTAAATATTCTAATTTAATTTAATTAAATAATTAGTAGTATAATTAATAATTAAAATATTATAAGTACCTT